GTTTCTTTACAAACAGCAGCATAATCATTCAGCAAATAATAGAGAAAGGGAGATATATAGACCATATGATTAGCAATCATCTATTTCACATTTGTTTTTTCAGGGCCAAAATTTAGAAGGTACTCTGTAACAAGCAATATACCTTTCTTTCTAAGTTACTTCTTCAAAAGTTGAACATAAATTGGGCATCAGTGATTTATGTCTGTAATCCTAGTGACTCAGGAGGCTGAAATCTGAGGTGTATGGTTTCAAGTCAGCTTAGGTAATTAAGTCCATGGGACTCTAATCTCCAATTAAACACCAAAAAGCCAGAAGTGGAGCAGTGGCTCAAAGGGTAGGTCCTCAGCCTTGAACAAAAAAAGCTAAGGGATAGCTCCCAGGCCATGAGATCAGCCCTAGTACCAGTATTCACATGTACATGTGTGTGTGCCTACACACACAAATATGTACAAATTGAACATAAATAATAACTCCTATACACTACATCTTCTTCTTAGATGTAAAAGGGGGACACACACACTCTCTCTCTCTCTCTCTCTCTCTCTCTCTCTCCCTCTCCCATAATAAATATTTATATTATTTCAAAGGAATTCAGTTAACATTTTTCTCAAGATAATACAAGTAAATCAATGTAATATCCACCAATCAAATCTCAGTCAGCCGTAGGTTAAATATGCTTTATACAATAGTGCTTTTTTGTTTCTGTTGATTTGCTATTTAAAATATGAAATTATTTTAAGATTAGTTTGAACAATTTGATAAAGGAACAATTTAGAGAATATGCATCTTAAATATATGTACGAAGCTGTGGACTTACATATGCCTTAGAAGTTATTAGATAAAATTCTAAAAGTGTCAAAAATACAGACATGTAGTTAGCTGTGTTTGTGACAGACATTCCGTGTGCCAGAAGCATGTCACTTAATCTGTTGCTTCCTCCTTAAGGGACTGAAATAATGCCTCACAAGATTGGGGGGGGGTTAAAATCAGGTGACATGAAAGTACTCTGATGACTACAAAGCACTCTTAACTAAATGCAAGGATGTTATTATGAAATAATAAAATATTAAGGTATCCTTGTTGGGCTGAATAAACAAAAATAAGCTATGTTTTCATGCAAACATGCTGAAGATGCCACAATTAGAAATGTTGGCTGATATGGCATATGTTCAGATGAGAAATTTGGCTTTAACATACCCAGAAGTATGATATTTAAAATATAACTTAAGTGAAATAGTTTAATATTTGTTTTAAAGTTTTCATGTCTTGATGGAAGATATCCATCATAGTTTTTTTCCAACTTTAATAGTTATTTTTTGTAAAGGAAAGCAGTCCTAGAGAGGCTATATATGTGAGATGTACTCTGCTGTCAAGAAAGGTTGGTTTGATTCTGTGAGTCAGATGCATTCCCATGGATTGTTTTTCTGTGTTGCACAATTTTGCTTTTTCATAGGAAGATGGAAGAAGAGCCTTACAGAGTCAGTCTTTTTTTGTGTTGCTGGGACAAAATACCAGAGATAATTAACTTTTAAAGAAAGGAAAAAAATGATTTTCCTTGGCTTGTGATCTCAAAGGTTTCAGTTGATGGTCTTTTGGCTCTGTTAAGAGAAATCATTTCATGGTGGAATTCATGGTACTAGTAACTCAAGACTACTCACCTCACACAGAAAGAGAGGCTGGGTGTAGTGGTATATGACTATAATCCCAGCTACTTGGAAGGTAGTGATAGGGTGAAGATGGTTTAAGTTATCAAGACCCTATCTAAAAAGCAAACTAAAGCAGAAGGACTTGGGAGGTGGCTCAAGTGACAGAACACTTGTCTCATAAACCCAAGAACTGGAGTTCTATCCCCAGTACTACAAAACAAAACAAAACCAAAAAAACCCAAAAATGTCCACAGGGGTCTAGGGTCCAAATAGCTCCTTCAAGAGTATATTCCCAATGCTATTACTTCCTTCCATTAGGTTCTGCTTCTTAAAAACTCTACCATAGGCTGGAAAACAACCATACATTAGTTTAAGATCTAAGCTCTAGCACGCAAGTGAATTTAAAGAATTCTATTACCCTAAATACAGTTTCCAGGTAAAGAAGCCAGAAAACATTCCCAGACTCTAAAGCATTTTAGGAAATATTATAGCCTTCCTTCTACTGCATAACTTTGAAAAGTACTATATACTTAATATTGAAAAGCAAGCAGAAATATTTTCAAAAGCTCACAGCCCCCAAAGTATTCCTTTTAGTGTGTATGTGTGTGTGTGTGTGTGTGTTTCTGTATGTTCTGTAAAAACAGCTCAGCCCATTGGCACACTCTCCTGACTACTTGTGAAGCACAAGTTCCAGGAGATCTTAATGTAATAGGTTACTAGAAAAAAAGTACACTTTTTAAAAGAGACAATACAGTGGTCATCTACCTTCAGTATCACTGGCTGGCCCTTTCCCTGGGTAGTTGCCTCATTTATAGAAACTAACTTCATTGCTGATCATCTGTTGCTGGAAAGGACTCAAAGCATTCAGCTGGGCCAGTTCTAACTGTTTACATGTTGATAACCATATAAATTCTACAAATGGTGTAGCATATGTTCCCTAAGTACCTACCACTAGACCCAGAATAACAGAAACATTCCTTGACCTCAGAGGACTTATACATAAAATGCTGCTTGCTCCAAGCTAGAAGATCAATCCTCACCTGAGCCAGAAGTGCCAGAAAGGTTGATCTTTCAGGTTTTTCCCAGGACTGTGAATGGTACTGGCCCTCTTGCTGAGTGTCTACTCAACATTAAAGCAGAGTCCCTGAAGACATTCTATTTTATATCCATCTGATTTTCTTAATAGCTTCATGAGATCATATAAATTAAGTACAATATTTATAAACCTAGCAAGAAGACCCTGAATTAAAATGTGAGAAGACATAAATCTATAATAATAAAAAATTCCCTGGGGTGCGGTTTGAACCCCATGGAAACAGGAGCCTTTATTTTTATCTGTGTAAAAAAAAGTTAACATTCTTAAATTATAGAAATATAAATAGTATGCAGTCTATAGGGGAAAAAATTTGGATTAATAAGCGGCTGGCTACTTTGCTAGTTTAGACTGATTGACTCACTGTTTTCTTCTACCTCCTTCCACAGTCCACTTCCGCACACAAGGGAGACAAAGCCTCCCTGGTTGTTCATTTCCTTGACAGAGGGAGAGACCAAAACCTATTCAGTGTGAAGTCCTAGTTTAATTCCCTTTCTAAGTTTTCTGGGGGTTAAAAAACTCCAAAGGAGGACAAGACTTTGGGCTAAAGAACATAACCCTATATTTGTTGTTGTTAGTGGTGGTGCTAGTGGTGTGTGTGTGTGTGTGTGTGTGTATATGTGTGTGTGTAACATAACCCTATATTTGCTGTTGTTAGTGGTGTGTGTGTGTGTGTGTGGAACATAACCCTATATTTGCTGTTGTTAGTGGTGTGTGTGTGTGTGTGTATGTGTGTGTGTAACATAACCCTATATTTGCTGTTGTTAGTGGTGTGTGTGTGTGTGTGTGTGTGTGGAACATAACCCTATATTTGCTGTTGTTAGTGGTGTGTGTGTGTGTGTTCGTGTGTGTAACATAACCCTATATTTGCTGTTGTTAGTGGTGTGTGTGTGTGTGTGGAAAATAACCCTATATTTGCTGTTGTTAGTGGTGTGTGTGTGTGTGTGTGTGTGTGTGGAACATAACCCTATATTTGCTGTTGTTAGTGGTATGTGTGTGTGTGTGTGTTTGTGTGTGTGTAACATAACCCTATATTTGCTGTTGTTAGTAGTGTGTGTGTGTGTGGTTCGTGTGTGTGTGTGTGTAACATAACCCTATATTTGCTGTTGTTAGTGGTGTGTGTGTGTGTTCGTTCGTGTGTGTGTGTGTAACATAACCCTATATTTGCTGTTGTTAGTGGTGTGTGTGTGTGTGTGTTTGTGTGTGTGTGTGTGTGTGTTCGTGTGTTCATGTGGAGATCCTGGAGCTTGAACCCAGGGGCTAGATGTTTCCCCTTAGCTTTTGTGTTCAAAGCTAGAACTCTACCACTTGAGTCACAGCTCTGGTTTTGGCTTTTTGGGGGGTGGAGAAGGATGCAGGTAATTAGAAATAAGAGTCTCATGGACTTTCCTACTCAAGCTGGCTTTGAACCATGATCCTCAGATCTCCATCTCCTGTGAGCCACCAGTGCCCAGCTAAAACCTAGCCCTTTGTAAAAAGTTGTTCCTGACATTGCCCCAAATTCAACTCCCATCTCTCCTTTGTCCCTCCATCTCTACCTTCACTGTTGCTTTCATCTACTGACAGCTTTCCCTTAAAATTTATTTTCCACAGTCAAGCCACAGTGATCTTTGAACACCAAAATCAAGATGGCTTCCCAGCATTCCAAGAGTTTAGTCAAGTGGCCTGTGAAGTGTTGTACACTCTGCCTTCCACCCATGGGTCCAGCCATTCTCTACTTCCATATACCTCGACTGTTCTCCTTTCTGTTCCCTTCCACATCATGCAGTTTCCCATTTCAGGATCTTCTCGCCCAGAGCATGCAGCCCATGCTGTTTCCCCAGCTGGTGTTTTCTCCCCCTGTAGATCTCAGTTCACCAGCTTCCTCCACAGAGAGGAGGACCTTTACTTTGACCTCTGTATTCAAAGTAGGGTGTGCACCAGAACTCCTTCCATTACTTCTAGCCTCAGAACACTCTTTGTTATCTGAACATATCCTTCTCTTTTCAATTTATTTTGCTGGTCTTCTTTTAAAACAATGATAATTGTGTAGAATAAATGTCATTCCTACCTCTCTTGTTCACAGCTGAATCTCCAGTGCACAGAGTGGGGAAATTGTCAAATAAATATGTGCAGATTTTAAGACTCTGGCTTATTGTTGAAGGGCCCCTTAAATCATAACTCCATTGGAGTTCACATGCTCTTAACTTCCAACTCAATTTACTCTGTGAGGGATTCGGATATACTTTTAAATGTAGTTTCTTTTTTTTTTCCTGTTTCAGTCCTCTCTAATAAACAGCGACATTATCTTTGTGAAGTTGCATGCCCCATGGGAAGTCCTGGGAAGATATGCGGAACAAATGAATGTAAGGATGCCTTTCAGGTAGGTATCAACATATTTTTCTCCATTCTGTATGGTGCCTCACTGTAAAGCTAATGTTCTTGCTTGGAACAAATATAACTAATTGAAAAAGCTATACCAGAGGGCGAAAAATCTTCGAATATTTAAGAAAGTGTTAATTATGGCCAATAATTATTTCCTGGCTTTTGTGACAATTTCTGGCTAATTTAGGCCTTAGCAGTCAGATATTTCAGGTGCCTGTGATAAAGAAGCATTTTTCAAGTGGCATCTTCAGAGTTCAACTGCCACTTTTAGAAGTCTTGGGTACTGCTGCTTGGAGCAGCCATAGTCTGGGGAATCATGCTCTGTAATCATCAGTCCCACATATACAGAAAAGCATTCAAATCCACTTTCCAAGAAACAAGTTCAAGAAATTTCATGAAAGTTTGTTCTATAGCTTAAAATAAAAACACATTTTTAATTTAAGAGTCATAAACACTGTACAAACACAAATATTGGTATTTGTTCTAAGAGAAAATAGAAAATCCTCTATGTGTTCTGCTAGGTTATTTAAATGGATTAATTTACCTTTAACTCACAGTGATTATTCTTATTTTCCTTATGGATAAAGAAAAAGTGATCTTCAATTGCTACACAGAAATAAAATAGAACTATTAAACCTGAGATTATAAATGCCAAGGTATGAAGGAGAGGTTCATAATGAAGCTACTCAAGGGGTCTGAGGAAGCTCAGAATCAAGAGTAGTTTTACTTATCTTTTTTTTTGGGGGGGGGTCCGGTTGTGAGGCCTGAACTCTGGGCCTGGGCACTGTCTTTCAGCTCTTCAGCTCAAGGCTAACGCTCTACCACTTGAGCCACAGTGCCACTTCCGGCTTTTTTTCTGCTTATGTAGTGCTAAGGAACCGAACCCAGGGCCTCGGGCATGCGAGGCAAGCGCTCTGCCACTGAGCCACCTTCCCAACCCGCCCCCCCCAGAGTAGTTTTAAAAAGATATTGGTTTGGGGTTTTCAACTTGTCCAGTAAGACCAAACGAACTGACAGGAATCAGTTTTACAATATGCCTCTTAATGGGTTGTAGGAAGTGATATTGACAAAGAATCAGCTCTATTCAGAGACAGAAAAGCTAGGGACCCATTTAGAGAAGGGACATCTCCATTCACTACTCTGTGATAGATCGCTCCAGTATGTGCCATTTTCTTTGTTCATTGGCCTTTATGTCCTAATACAAGCCAAAATGCAGGCTGGGATTTCCAGAAGCTGTTTTTCCTGCAGGAAATATACGTGTGTGTGTGTGTGTATGTGTGTGTGTGTGTATCCACTAAGAAAGAAAGAAAATCAATTCAGTTTCATAAAACTGCCATACTATAATAGTTAAAGCTAGGTATTTACCAATAATACAGTAATCTAATATGGATACATACTATGAATTAGTACCATATTATACCTAAGAGCCAAAAGGGGAAAAACAAACCTACAAAAATGCTTAGGTAGAAACTAATAAACCTTCCCTATAATAAATCTTACAAACCTCTACCAGAGCACATTTCTGCAAAAGAACCCAATGAGACTGCAAACTTGAGCATTGGTATTATAAAACAAGTTCCCCTAGCATTCCAAGAACTTCATATCCATCCAGGTGAACTGATGGCTCATACTTGTAATCCTAACTATTCAGCAAACTGAGATCTGAGAATTGTGGCTCAAAGCCAGCCGAGGAAGGAAAGTCCATAAGACTCTTACCTCCAATTAACCACCAAAAAGCTGGAAGTAGACCCCTGGTTCAAGTGGTAGAACACTAGCCCTGGCCCTTAGTTCAAGCCCCAGTACCAGTGCATGCACGCACGCGCACGCACACACATTCTCTCTCTCTCTCTCTCTCTCTCTTTCACAGAGTATTTCACATCCCAAGTGCCTAGCTGCTAAATATATTTCTGTATGCCCATTACATAGCAGAAATGTTCTGCCTTCAAGTGGAATGAATACCTATTCCACATAGCACTAAGAGAATATGATTTGAGCAATAATCTTATCATGATGTAAGAATTCCTGCGGGACAGTGATTTTAGGAGGAAATACTGTGATGTGGAACACAGATTGACTCATTATTATTGATGTGATTTTACCTGAGCACAGCTTCACTCATTACAACCTGATGCATTTATATTTTATGTTGTTAGCTTGTGCTCAGTGTGGGTTTCCAAAGGAGGAATTCTCCCAATATACCATTTCAACAAAATACACAAATATCAATTTGGCTGAATTTAAATGTCCCAAAGAATCTTATCTGTATTGATTATTTTCTGTAGTTGCACTTCTAAATCTTAGGTTTAGTTTCCTTGGATATTTAACCCAACCATGTTTGAAAGGAAATTAAAGAATAGGATTAGAATGTGAAATAGCCAATAAAACCTACCGTTTAAATATATGCTCATAAATTTAGTTGTATTAGTTATGATTTTAGTTTTATTAATGATTTTAAAGCAATTTGGGGTTTATAAAACTCTGAGCACATAGTTCAGAGCATCCTATGCCCCCCTTTTCTGATTCAGTATTCTTTTTAACATCTTGCACTTGTATAGTGTGTTTGTTCAGTTGATATACCAATATTAGCTGAAGTCTAATTATAGTCTAATGGTTTACTTTAGGGTTCCCACATGTTGTATAATTCTATGGGTTTTGACCAATGCATATTGCCACATAGTTCCATTACAGACTTGTATAGAACATTGTGTTCTAAAATCCCCTGCTTCTCCTATTCACTCCCTGCCTCAGCCCAAACTCCTGCTAACAACTGGCCTTTTAATTGTTTCCATGCCTTTTGTCACAAATACTCCAACTACTTTTTGACCTACACACTCCCCGTTTTCCCTAAACAAGTTAGCTCAATAGCTGTTCAGAATGCATACAAACTGCATCCATTTCATTTTTACTCCATTGACAGATGACAGAAATAGGGAAAGGAGATTGCATTTTAAATGATCAGATACAACATCCAAAATATTTCATTTTAAACATTTCAAAAATATAATTATGCAGTGATGTAACCAATCTTTATTATTTGATTTTTTTTTTTACAGTCCTGCAGCTTTGAACTCAGGGCCTGGGCACTGTCCTTGAGCTTCTTTTGCTCAAAGCTAGCACTCTACCACTTGAGCCACAGCGCCACTTCTGGCTTTTTCTGTTTATGTGATACTGAAGAATCGAACCCAGGGCTTCATGCATGTTAGGCAAGCATTCTACCACTAAGCCACATTCCCATCCCCAAGGTTTGATTTTTTTTTAAGCATTTTCTCTAGGATCTCTTGGTCTTACCTGTTGACTTCACCTTTAACCAAAGACAGTGGATAGGCAATGTCCCCCAGATGTACAACTGGGTGTCGATGCTGATAAGTTAGTGTCTTTCCCCTACTACATGTTTTATGATACTCCCGTCTAAATCATAAGAGAAATGTTCTCTAAACATAAGGAGGGAGCTAGCAGACTGTTGGTTTAGTAGAATAGTATGTCCACTAAATTATTTATGTTGCTCCCTGATTTATCTCTAAGTTTCCCAAAAGGGGAGAAATAAAAAAAAAAGCTAATCTATCCTGTGCAATAATACCACATATTCCAAATCATCACTCAAGACACCTTGTATAGGCAAGGAGCAATTGTGACAGTCATGGTAATAAGGAGAGGCAGTAGTAACAATGGAAGCCGTTTCATAAGGTTTCATGAAATGCAAATGCATTTCAAAAATGCACGCCCTGTTTTCCTATTGCAATTCTCACTGTTAATCTCTTTTTAGTGTTTTCTTCTTCACCTCTTACAGGCTTCTATCTTCAATCTCCTTTCCTTCCTTGCTAGTTCAAACTGTAACTGACGATGGGTTTTCTTCTCGACTGGCTTCATTTTTGCTGTTCTTCCAGGAGAAAAATCTATTACCTGCCCCGTCGGTACAAGTTCATGAGCAGGTGAGTAGCAAGCTCCATTATAATTTGTTTGTGTGTGGACTGGTCTGTGTACTCCAACAAATACAAGGAGCTGCAAGCCCAGATATCACCCAGCAAAAATGATTGTCATGTATGTTCTAAAAGTAGCAGTTTCAGGCTAGCCTGAAAGAAAGCCAAGATGAAAGTATCCCCCTCTCAGAGCTTTGCCTCTGATGCTTCTATACAGAAGAGGATGCTGAGGTGTGTTGGAGCTGTGGGTCTTTTAGCCCATTCTGGTAGATTAGTTACCAAAAAAAAAAAATCTAGCTATTCAGAGCATCACATAAATCCCTCCATCCACTGTGGATAATTTGAAAGCTTGAGGTACATGTGGTCATGGCTCAAAAGTTGATGGCTACTTACTCCCTTCACCCATGGGCAGAAACTTCTTAAATAAAATATGCAAATATATGTCCTAAAGAGCTCTTTCAACTTTCATTACAAAAAGAAAACAATCACAGTGTATGAAGGTTATCTTCTTCCTAAATTTTTTTCTTCTTGTTTTATGACAAGCCATGGAGACAGGGAGCACCCAGCCGATCTTGGCTCAGGGGATAACTTTGTGATCATTGGTGGATCTAATTCAAAATTGTAATTGTTCTTATATTTATTGATAACTTGGAATCCGGTGTATTACTTCAGTTCTGTGAGATTTAGGATTCAGATCATGTATGCTATGCAGAGCTGGAAATAAATAATTGATATAAATTTTGGCAGATTTTTTTCAGGTGCATGAGCGCTCAATAAAGTATAGTGAAATGGCAAGCACTAAGAGAAACTAAGATAGTCTTGTATCTCAAAATTTCCCAGTGGTACCCCTGTTAATTGGCAGGGTTTTTTTCCATTAGGTAGTAGACATGGGATTTGTATTCACCATGACTTAGATTTGTCCCTTGTCACAGCTAGATCTTCATCATAAATATCTCTATAAGTTATAACTCTTCAGCTTATGTTTATAGTCCTCAAACTTCAGCCAGCATCAGAAGCACCTGGAGAGCTGTTAAAACACAGATTTCTAGCTCCCCTGGCCCCCACCCAGAGTTTCTGTTTAAGTAGTTTTGCAGTGGGGATGGAGTACTTTTATTTCAACAGGTTCTTAGCTGAGGCCAATGCTGCTAGTCCTGTATGGGGCCATGATTTGGAAACCACACATCTGTATGACAGATAAATATTCCTGTTAAAATAAGGATTTGGCTAACTGTAGATATGGGACATAAAAACTAAAGTTAAATCAAACTCAAAGGAAACACCAGATGAAGATATAAATTCCTCCCAACTTTAATGATACAGTACTTACATCAAATCGACACATGATATTGTTTCAATTTGTTGAATGAAATATATTCCAAGTTTTAAAAGGTGTAGAGATTATGTCTTACCCTTGTCCAAATTTTCCAAGTACTCTTCATTTAGTATAATAAAATATATAGGAAGACCATATTCTTTGAACATAAAATCTATGTTGGTATTGGATGATGTGGGAAACTTAATTCACTTCTTTGAGTTGAAGCTTCCATCTTTCTAAAAATGAAGATATTACTTTCTGCCCTGGGGGGGTGATGCAAAGATTAGTGCCTCATATGTGTTAGTGTTCATAAGTGATATCATTTGGTGATTTTTATGAGTAACTTATGGTCAATGAACACGTACTATTCCCTTTCACTTTCTGAACTTATAGCCATCTCCTCTGTCTTTTTTCTTTCCTCTAATGACTAGTCCACTAATTGCCTGACACATTCTGTTTAGTCATACATAATCCACTTATATGCATGTAGTCTCCATGACCTAGAAAGGCCTTGGCTCCATTGCTTCCATTGTCATGTAAGAAAACTCAGTGTCATCCTGGATGTTACCCCTTCTCCTCTAATGAAATTCAAAAGTTCTGCTGTCCCATGGAAACTTCCAGAATTCACTCAGTGTTCTTCACTTCCACTGCTTTTGCCTTACTGTAATCTCATTATCTCTTGTCTATTTTGCATCAAATTATCTTCCTGCCTCTGTTATTGACCCCTCTTCATTACTAAAGAGCAAATCCAATCATGTCCATCAAAAACAAGTTGAAAGATTTAGCTTAGATATCACCCTTGAAAGACTGCCTTCGCCTATCTCTTCCTTTCCGTCATTCTCTGTTCGATCTACCTCAGACTACTCATGGTTTCCAAACATATGACACTCATTGGATTTATCTGTCTTTGCAAATAGTGCTTCTATTAAATGATCACTTCTCAACTTGACACCAATATAGTACCTACTTAGTCCTCAAAACTCAGTCTGCAAAGTTGGGCTTGTTGACCAGGTCAAATGCCCCTTCTTTGTTCTCTCATTGTCACCTTATCACCCCCTCACCCTGGGCTATAATTGAAAATGTGAATCTCCGTCTCCCGACCTGGGTAATGTTTAAAAGCAGGCATAGTATATATGATTCTATACTGGTGAACGTTAGCACATGGTAGGTAGGATAAATGAGCCTAATGAAATCTCCATACATAAGAGAGGTGTGGAGAGAAAGGAAGTCACATAGGATAAAATGTCTACATAAAGTGCTCAATGATGAAGAAGGGCTAGGTGAGGAGGACTTGAAAGACAGTGATGGGAAAAAGCAACACTGAACTCAAGATTGAGGGATAATGTCAGCAAGTCCAGCTACTCACTTAACTTTTTGTCTTTGATTAGTCAGTCCACATTTGAATGTACAACAGAAACAGCAGTCTCTCTATTCCATCTAGGTCCTAATCTCTCCCTCTTTGTCACTTTCATACACTGGTCATAGTTGTTCCCCCTGGATAGACAAAAAATAATAATCTACAGCCCCAAAAGGCATGTGAGAGAGATGGGAAATTATAAGCAAAAGGGTTGAGTACTTCTTAGGTATTTGGAAACTAAGAGTTGGGGAAAAAGAGGCTAGAATATCTGAGGAATTAGGGAAATATTGTTGAAGGTAAGAGAGGAATGAAAATTCAGCAGAAGAACCAGTGTGATGAGGAAGACGGTGATTTTACTTTTGGTAATTTTACATTATAATTCACGTTAAGTATTTGGAATGTTCAGGCAGCCTTGGAACTTAGGATGCGACAGGCACAGTGAGAAGTAAAGTTAGAGTCCATTCTGGAAACGAATAGCATGACTTCATGAGAGTGTATAGTTTTTCCTAGGAAAGGATGTACAGAATGAAGAAATGAAGGCCAGAGATAGTTCTTTGGAAAATCCTTATAAGGGAGCAAGAGAAAACAGGAGGTAGATGAAAAGTAGCATTTTGAGAATGGAAGAATGAAGGATGAGTTTCCAAAAGTATGGACATTCTTCAGCTCCTCATGAATTGTGAAACTTGAGTCCATTTAAGACATTTAGAAGTTGTTGATAATTTTCATCACAGTAGTCTCTGTGGAATATAGTGGTTCTCAAATGTGCTTCAGGATCATGGGACTATCTTCAAGGTTTCTGAGTCCATGAGTCTAAAGTGTAGGTTGACAAGTTGCATTTCAACTTGTCCAAGTGGTACTGATGCTAATGCTATCAGTCCTGGTCCATCCACATTTTGCCCATAGACTAGAAGGCATCCCAAACCTAACTGCAACTGGTGGAAAAAGGATGAGGTTCTGGTGAATCAGAAGCAGTAAGAGTTTACTGCTATCTTGATAAGTTTTATGACAGAAGAAGAGGAAGAGAGGATGAGATATAGAATAGGAGTCAACAAGAGGGAGGTAGAGAAGTCTGTGGACACACAAGATCCATCGTATGTTCTCTATTTGTACAAAGGAGATGTTTTGAGTGAATAACAAAGCTTGGTAGATTCTTGTTTCCAGAGCTGGAAGAACCACTTGGTAAACACGAATCTTTAACCTGAAAAAGTTACTGCCTTTTAAAGTGCATAAATCACAGTCATGGAAGAAATTAGGCAGTAGAATATATTGGAAGTCCCAATTAGGATTTGCAACTGAAAATAGTATTCTGAAAATAGTATGCAGTGTGTACATGCCACTAGGCCTCACAGTCTGCTTGGCTTTATCGTTTATGGGTGGTACTTTACCACTTGAGCCACATCTCCAATTCTGGCTTTTCTGCCTAGAATGGCTTCAAGCTGTGATTCTCAGATCTCAGCCTCCTGAGTAGCTAGGATCACGGGCATGAGCCACCCTCTCCCGTCGTCTTCGATTTTTTTTTTTGGTGTTATTTTTTTTTATTTTTAACCATGCAGCATTCCATTTAGACAACATTGGACTGATGGTCTTGTCTAATGTCCAAGGTGAATTTAAAATACAGCTAAGTAGAAAATTTTGTATCTGCTTTAATTCTGCATTTCATCTCAGAACAGGCCAATCCTAATAAAGAAGCATATCCACGTTTCTGTAGTCAGTTCTGAGATTCAGGCTGAAGGACATGTCTTTAACTTGTGTTCCTGACAGTACCCTAGTAATGAAACATTTGACCTCAGCATTCTCAAATTCTCCTCTCATGCTGAATATAGCTGTTTAATTTAGCTTTTAATTTCTTCTATATAAATTATATTTAGTTTTATTAATCCAAAAAAGCATTCCTGTCCCCCACCTATGTACTCCTGTCTTCTTTAAGGAGAAAATAAATTAATAAAAATTTCAAAAGGTCTTGAACAGTCAGGGAAATGAAACATTGTTTCTTAAATATCTTTATTTCAAAAAGTCACCCAGCTCACATAAAGTACACTCATGGAACTCAGATTCACATTTTTGAAAGAAATGGTTCTTTTTATTTGTGTGCTTGGTCTATTAAACACTACTCTGGATCTTATCTCTGAATAGGCTTACACAAGTATTAGAAATTACTTCCCCCATAAAAAAGGAGAATTTATCATCTTTCTTCTGCCTTTATTTATTTCCCATCACAAAACCACACAAAAATAGTCTGAAGAAGATAAGTAACAAATCTGATTATTTGGGGTGGCCTATAGCTAAACTCATTATTACTCATTCCTTTTCTCTCCACCACAATCATAAGAATTTGGCCTG